TGACTTTTCACTTAAATAAACTAAAATCTCCTTTTTTCCTAGTGGACCTGCTTCTTAATATGTCCATCTCTCAAGATTTTAAGAGCTGCCATTTTCCCTCTGGAAATAATAACTTCTTGCTTGGTTGCCTCAATATTTTGATCTCTCTTAAACCCTGTGATAGGAGACTTTTCTGATTTCAGGTTACATACACTGCTGTAGGAGTTAAAGTATCCATCACTATTTTCCACAGAATTTTAAGGTCAAAGATCATGACTGAGATAATTACCCTGTGGCACACCTTTTAAATTCAGGTTTATGTTTGGCTCTGGACTTCCCTAGCTGCTACATGGCTCCAGGTTTTTATTTAATGATCGCCATGTAGCCAATATGCTTTCATTAAGTACCAGCTATGTTCTGGGATATAGAAGCCAGATTCGAATGGCTACGACCCTTTGTTAGGGCCCAGCTCAAAATGTGGAACTTCAAATATTAACTTACCTCAGCTCCTAGACCATTTGCCTTAATCTGTTACAAATACTAGATTGTTTTTAAAATAGCAGTATCATTTTGTTGATTCATATTATTTGTATGCCCAGATTCCTCCGCGCTTGTATCTAGTCAGTTGCTTCCATCATGTAATTTATTATTTGTATGTTATGTTTATTTAATGTTCATGTAAAATTTAGATGTTCTTTGATATGTATGCATGTCATTTAGTTTGCTCTTAAAAATAGTGATACTGGTTTTAGTTTATTTTTACTTAGTCAATATAAGCCAACAGTCTGTCTTCCAAGTGGTAATACGGGATCAGAGTTTCTGAGATTTATGTTACAACCCTTGGAAGAATTCCTTTTGATGAAGCGTGGATTTATTATATGGAATTTTTGCATTTTTATAATGTATGCCATAATATCCCTTTTAGTTTTTTACACATTACGATGTTTTATCTTCTGTTCTAGACCTGGAAATGCATGAATGCCTTAAACTTGCAAGGCAATACATCCTTCTCCCTTTTCTGTTGTTTATACTGAAAAGTCTATAATTCACATCTAGCTTTTGAATCTCTATGCCATCATTCCATTTATATTATTAGTTACTTTAAAATTTTAGCTATTTTTTAAGTTTTTCCAACTCTATAGG